TTTTTTTTTTTTTTTTTTTTTTTGGAACGAATGCTGTTGGTTTAATAACACTAAAGGCTTGTTTGTTTTGAACATTACCATTCAAATAGTGAAGTCTTAATTTCATAGTGTGTTTATACGCCACATATTCTTAATATCCAAACCAAATTCTAACTAAAACAACAACTATGGCCATCAACCCACTTAGATCCACAGCCGTAGCAAAATGCTGATCCGCACCTACAAATTTCACATAAAACTGCTTCACAAAATTCTCAACAAAAAGTTCTGAAAAAAATAAGGCTACAAACCTTACCTGCAAGTAAAATGGACGCAGCCTCCAATCTTCTCAACATAAATTTTGCAATGCGGACATCTCTTCCATTTCCATGTATCAGCCAGCTCCTTCATCAGCATCTCGTCTCTGTCTCCTCCTTCCTTGCACAGTTCGGGCTTTGCTGGTTGTGCATTAGCCATTGCTCCAACTCTCATCGGTGATTGGGAAGGCCGGGGTGAGAAGTATAAATGGTGGAGTAGGAAGGGAAGGGCCATGGCTTGATGATGCCTCGACTTCCCAACTTAACTGGTTCAGTGTCATACAGAATAGACGCCTTGGGGAATGTGTCGGTTCCATTGGAGTAACCATGAACAACTAAAACTAGAATTTTCAGAATTCTAAATGGAAATGAAGGGAAGGCGAAGCGTTTCATTTCATCATCGGCACAGATTTTGAAATGCATATGAAGTGTGATTCATTATTCATCTACTTTTGTTGGACTATCATATATATTATACAATAAAAATAAAAAAAATGGTAAAATACATCACTCACTCATGGCTTAGCTACAAGAATACACGTATTTTACAGCGCCCCTGCTAAAGTTATGAACTGCCATGCTGCTAACTAACTTTCCTCCTAAACTACTACCTAGAGAGAGTAAAAAAAAAAAAAAGAACCTATGCACCAATTCTGCTTTTCCCTCTGTGCTTTAGTTCTCTTCACCTACAGTCTCTTCATCCTGAGTCTCATAAATTTACTCTTCAGTTAATGGTTTAGCAGCACACCACCTCAAATAAAACTCATCTACGAATCCAAACAATGAATAATTTCTGATGCAGGATAAGAATAGGCGGAAAAAATGACTGTGCTGAGACGAAGACCAAAAATGACTCAAGGTATCCGTGGATTTGTTATTCCTTGCGGAGACCCGTTTGCTACACTATGTGGTTTCTTCTTGTAAGTTGTAATGCTACAATGTGGACAAACATACTCTAACCCATCTGTTTTGGCATAATCCTGCAATTAGACCATCACAGAGAAAAGATTAACCATATTGTACACTCATGCAGTTCCACGCCTCACTAACCCAAGATTTCCCAGAATTTATGTCAAGGTGGTCGGAAATTATACCTTAAATGCACCAAGACCCTGCCTCCGGTCGCACCCAAAATGGGCCCATTCACCACAAATACCACAGTTCACCCAATCCCCTGCTGCACTACTATTGAACAGATGCAAATCCCATGGTAAGAAAGTGATGTTGCTACAATTATCAGTTTCATGTTTCACCATGTAAGTGAACGAATCAGTAGAAAAAAATTGACGAACCTGTGACACAAAAGGCAACATTCTCCATCTACATCATCATGAGCCAATTCATATTCTAGAAGGTAAGTCTCATAATGTCTTTTCAATGTATTTCCAACACCCTGTGAGAACATATAGGATCGACTTCTTACAACATATGAAATTAGTAAAATCGAAAAATATTTCATCTAGCATCAGAAGGGTCACAAATCCATGAGAAAAGGTTTGCTGTACATACAGTCATTCTATTGGTCATTGTGTAATTGTGCATCTTAGAGAAGATCTGCCCCTTCCAATTGATACCATTGCCGACATGAAAACCTCCTCGGGTGACCACCTACAGACCAGAGCAACACTTTCAAAACGGGTCTCTATAGTTAAAACACCAGACAGGAGGAATCAATATACTATTCTGGAAATTCAATGACCATACCTCCTTATACAAGTTATAGAGGTCAAGACGCTTCCCATTGAGTACGGCATCTGGGAACTCCTCAACTCCACCTTGAGGAATAAGTCGTGAATGTCCTCGAAGTAGTAAAAACTCCATAACATCCTTCAAGAACTCCTCCTGCAATGAGAGCAGAACAGAAATGTTATTAACAGTAGAATGAAATCCATATCAGTTCAGGCAAAAACTTCTGAAAAAATGTGTATGAACATATAGCATGAAGTTGAGATCTTTTCCTCCTAAGAGAAGGCAAATACCAAAAACACTTTTTAGTCATGGATTTCCTCATTGACATGATGGACACCCACGTTTTAATGCAGAGATATTTTATAGTTCCAATATTTACTGCCAATAACTGGATATCCACAAACCTCTTAAGCTAAAACCTCACTGATCATAGTAACTTACCTCAGAGCAATCTTGAACTGGATTTCTTCCACAGCCATGTTTCTTTAAAGGTAGTGGATTTAAGGGAATAATTTGCTGCTTAGACTGAGATGAGCTTGAAAATGATTTTCTTTGTGTTGCAGAAGTTGATCCTACAGTTACATGCTTGGACGGGGTAACGGCGGGCAAACTAGCCTTGGGCTGGCCTCCACTATTACCATCTCCTTCAGTCCATCCAGAGAAAAGTTTCATTTTATTCCTATGCACAAGTGGAATAGGCTTCATGGTGGCTACTTTTAATCTTTTCCTAGCCGGGAGTAAGGGTGCCTTAAACCCATTCATTGGGGCAGGCTCCTCTCTACCTACTCTTCTAACTGAAGGGATATTTGCATAGGCGAGACTGTCATGAGAGAGAGTATTCCTCATTCCTTGACTTGGTTCCACTCTCTTTCTACTAGGAGTAGGTGGTTTAAACCAGTGTGGCAGTACACTTACAAGCAACTGATCTGAATGTTTATCATTCTCGTCCCTTGAACAAAAGAAGAGCAACCGCTCGGCATCCTCTTTCTCAAAGGAAGCAACAGGAAAACCCTGAACTCCCCCAATGCCAAGTGCAACTAAACTCCGATGTGACATATCAGGTGCTAGTTGCCTCAAGACCTGAGCATCCAATGGTAAACAAATTGATATTAATATATTATAGATAAAGCGACATTGGATTATTCAACCAAGTACAAATCCAGACATCAACATTTCATTGATCGTATGAATCAACCAAGTTTTTTTTTTTTTTTTTTAATAGAAAATATATCAAAGTAGAGCTTCTGCTTAATTTAAGTGGGGGATGGGGACCTGTGATGCCCAAGCGGGAACCTTCATCGAAACCTCAAAAACTGTTGCCCCACAAGCAACTGAAGCAGATTTTCGAGGCTTGTGCATGTGATGTTTGTTGCCCTCACAATCATGCATGACATGAACCAATTGGCTATTTTCAATAATCTCATGTTTGATATGTTTTTCCAGCAGCTGAAATAATTAGTAGCATCTAGGCATTAGACTCCTATTTGAAACAATTACCAACGGGTCAAATAGTTCAAATTAGAAACAGACCTGATCATCAAAACAAGTATGAGCACTACCAGACACCAATACTGAGATGTGGGCCGAACTACAGGTCACTATATCACATCGCATTGTCACAACGCCGCGAGAAAAGGATCCTGCTTGAAGAGGTGGCGGAGGAGCACTGAACCATATTTTTAAAAGCATCAATAGCATATACAACAGATATTCACTGAACAAAAGATTTAATTCCTACCAAGAAGGCATATCCTAGATAATGGCATTGAGAGTTAAAATATAAAATTGGCATACCGATGTGAGAAGCGGTCCAAGTGTTTAAACCAAAAATATTCCTATATATTTCAACATAAGTCTAACCAAGAAGAAGCTAACCTGAACTTTCCCTGAAGTTTACTCCCACGTATCTGTATCACCCATAAAAACCAAAAACTTAGACAGTTAGATGGGAATGCCCCCAAAACAACTTAAGTCGCAACAGTTCATAGAGATCTTGATCGTCCATTCATTGAGAAAATGTTAACGAATAATGTCAAACATAAAGAATGTCATTGGTCAACTCCTACAAACTATAAAACAAGCAAAATTGCAAAATTTGAATGGCACGTACTTCAATATTCAAAAGGGCATTAAGGCCATCCTCCAATGATCTCAATAAGCACGCATCCTAGAAAGCATGAAAACTATAAGGAAAACCATGCAAAATAATTCATAATTGAAAGGGTACTCGTTCCTGCACACCTATATGCAGGTGTACCCAATGGCTCATGAATACAAGACGAACGCCTGGAAACTGCTTACCGGTGTGCAAGGCAATCCACAGATGAGAAGTCTCATGGTCACATTATTATCATGTACACTTATAACAGGGACGGCTTCTAAAGAAGCATCTTCATCTTCACCAGCATCTAGCTCAGGCGGTTCTATGTTAATCTTTGGAGGTTCTCCAATAAGTTGAGGCTCTAGATCACTCCTAAAATCGTCAGCATTCCCAGGAAGAGCATAATTTCTCCCCACACAATGAAGCCTAAAAGCAGCATGTGCAAGCTGAAAAGCATCCCATGTATGAGTAGATGAACTGCAGCCCACAAGTGAAATACAACATAAAAATCAAATATTTAACACCCTCCAAAGACACAAGTACAAAAGTTCAACAAAAAAGTAAACGGAAGGCAATACATGCAAAACATAAGTGCCCCCAACAAGTGGGGAGGGCCTAACAGTGTCACTTACAAGTTAGTTGGCTGGTGTTTTCTTTTTTTCATCTTACACATAAGCCCTAAAAGGGCTATTGCTCTTTAACTTGCTTTACATTCTTAAAAACACTACCCACAACAACTTCCACAGTAATGTGAGCTAGTATAAGAAGCACAATATATATATATATATATATATATGAAAATCACAAAGCAGCTTTTATCCTAAACTAAATGTCAAGATAAGTATTTTGAATCCATGAAGAAGGGTAAATAGACACCTAAAACAACACAATTCTAGTCCGTCTAATAGCAAGTAGGGAAAAGCCTTCAAGTATGTAAAGTACCTCTCCACCACAGAAAGTAATGCATTGCGGAAATGAGCAGCAGCATAACATGAAAATGTGTTGTTCCAATATATGACATAAGGAATTCCCTGCACAATGATGAATCTGATTCAATAAACATCCTTCGACAAAGAAGACATCACACACGAATGTTATACACATGGGCTGCCCTCATTGTTCATATCAAGAACATAGTTTAATCCAAGTGGTGGTCTAAGGACATCATAGAAATCACCTTAGAATGAAGAGTCTCCGCTATTTTGCCTCCATTTGGGAGTTCTAAGTACACCTGAGTTCATAGATGAATTAAATTATCAAAACCTGAATGTACTCTAACCAAATCCATTCCTCCAACCTCATCACAAAGGAGTGAATGGGCAGAAGAAAAAAATGAGATGGTTAAGCAAAGTACTAGTTGATCAATTATGGAAGGGAGACAGAGCATACGGTGGTTGGTAATGCAGTATCGAATAGTCCACATAAATCTTCAAGAGATAAATCAACACCATTCCAAACCAACGACCCAAGTTCGTCATTCTCAAGTTGCTCCCCTTGCAAGTAGACAAAGCTCGGTTGACATGATTCGACAATTCTACCGAACTCATTCTTGCTTGGATTTGTTAGAACTTGGACCTGCAAATTCAAGCAGTTCAATATTTTGACAAGAACCATCTTTAATCGAGTAGGAAACTTGCAGATAAATGACAACTATTGCAGTTTTGCACCTCCAATCGTCCGGAAGAGACCAATTCTGGAAAGGGGTATTTCAGATTATGCTCGGCAACATCCTCCTCGCATTTTACTTTAGGCAATCTTCCACAGGTAACAGCAAGTAAGCTACAAGTTTGTCTCGCAGCTCCTATGGAATGAAGCATGATTTACAGGAATAATCGGGAGAAAATTGCATTAAGCGAAGTTCCTTAAGCAATGAGACCTTTCCACTTCCTCGAGGAACCGTTAGAACACAAACATTCCCCAAAGCAGAGCCCCAACACCCTGGAATCAGTTAAAAATCTCGGAGAACAATACCCATTGGACATGACATAGAATTAAAGAACCTGAATTTTCATTCTGAGGATGAAACAATGCCATCATTCCAAAGCCCCTCAGAAACGGCTTTAAGATCAAAATCAAAGCCGTCCAGAACCTCTAATTTTTACCGGACCAACAGTTAAACCCTAAAACTCACCCACCTCACCACAAAATTTATGCAAAAATAGAATGCAGAACTTATTAAGAACTCAAACCCTATCTGTTAAGAATCTACAACTGTGATCAACATGTAGTGGAAGAGCAAAGAATACATTCAGCTGCAGGGTGAGCAAAATCACTTCAAGGATAACCACAAAAACAATCATAATCGAAGCTCCAAAGCGAAACCCATAAGAGAAAACCTCAAAATTAAACGAACCAACCTCCACCGGAAGAAGCAAAATGAAATTCACCGCCTCCGACGACAGAAATGGAAGAACCCACCGACCCAATGGGAATAATCAAGGATATTTGAACATCCAGCGGGATGAGATCAAGAAAAATCGACGACAAGACACAGTCCGTAGCCCCTAAATTCATACGAAAGGGGAAAATTGTTGGGCAGCGATAGAAGACTGAAGCCCGAAAAGCGTACCCTAGGCCCTTAAAATTCACATCATTAAAAAAAATCTCTCCAAAAGAAAATAGAAATAAGAAATACTCTTACCTTTCTCCATGTCCACATTCCACGCAATAAACACGAAAATCAAACAAAAGTTCTCACAGTGGTCGCCAAAATTAAATCCAAATAATTAGTTCCTTTCTGCTAAATAAGTGGGTGTCTGATCAAAAAATTCCCATTCGAAACCGGAAGTCAAACGTTTCGAAACACATTACACCCAAGAAAAGTGAAGCGTTTATATCACAGCCGATTCGAACCCAATCAAGAAAACACGTCGCCATCGCCTTCCGATTTACTTCCCACGGGTTTTCATTAAAACTGGTAATGGCCATATTGTGGTTGTCTTCTGAGAAAGTTATAAACAATAGCAGAGCATAAGAGATCAAAATCCAGAAATTTGCGTTAATTGGGTGCCTATAAACACTGTTCTTTTTTTTTTCTTTTTTTTTTAATCATCGTCGATTAGATTGCTGACAGATTCTTCTAGTTTCGTCAAGTTAGTTGAGCTTGTTCTCCTTCTTCCTCATGTGACTCTCGAATAAGTACATAAATGAATTGAAATGAAAATAATTCTTAGAATACGATGGCTATATAAACGAATAGATTTGGAGACGAGGCGTTACATAACTGAATTGAATAAAGAAAAGCTATTACAATATTTGAGGATTCAAACGAGAATCTATATAGACGTGCTTCACAAAGTAATTTCTGGCGATGGTGTTGGTCATCACATCTTTAGCAAATAATCTCTCCATCGCAGTCTGTGGTGAATCACACCATCGGAAAGATCCTTGAAAGCCTACCAAAATGAAGATTGTACACACAGACACAGAGTAAGCAGGTTGTTGTTTATGGAAGATGTAATTGGGAGTGTGGCAGTTGTGTTGACTGAAGCTTCTTGGATGAGTGAGGAGGCTTTGTGTTTTTAGTTGGGCAACTGCATGCTTTGAACAATCCATTGTTGTTGCCTTTTCCCCTTCTTTTGTCTTTTATCATTTGGCAGTCACCCATTTGTCGTATGTCCTTGTCGCATCTGCAATGCTTCCTGTACGCCCCTCTATGCCCAATTCCTTCCTCTTTACTACCCCTTATAAATACAAATAGTCATTGGCTTCATTAACATTTTAAAACCCTAGATAAACCCATGTGTCCATTACATGCACCGTCCGAAGTCACATGGGTCAAGAGGGATCGAATTAAGGAGGCACAGTGAAGGGACAAGACAGCCAAACTATCAAACTGAGGCAGACATCACGTTTTCCTTAGTTTCTACTGTCCTGTAAGGTATGATCTTATCAATAGAGAAGTGAAAAAGGTAGAGTTAAAAAGTGAAACATTTTTTTGAAAAATAGCATCTACTACCTCATTTGTTGATCATATTTAAGTAAGGGAAGGTTTTGAGAAAGAATGTCGTCAGAGGCTGTCTTATTTGATTCCAATTCAAACCACCCATGCTGACCCCTATGTGTAATAATGCATGCTTAGCCTTCCTTTTGTTAGGTAGTTAATGAGTTGAGAGGGCAATGATCCTCCTCAAGAATTTGAAACCAAGAAAACAAAACAAAACAAAAGAAAATGAAATTGTTTGTGTTAAGTTACAAATGTCAGAATAATTTTTGTGACCACAAATCTTGTCGGATGGAGGTGCATCTTCGGGAACAGACGCCAAATTATAAAACAAAGGGCTTTGCTCATAGACTATTGTGTAAACAAAAACAGGACAAAGCCAGCTTTTTCCTACAAACCCTCCCTTTCTAAACTTTAAGCAAATCCCATCTATAACTCATAACAACCTTACCTTTTCTCTAAGTTTCAAAATTTTGAATGTATAGGTATAGATATTTAGATATATAGTAGTAGATAGAGAGAGGGAGAGAGAAACATGGGTGGGCTAAGCTTGGCTTTTGCAGGCTACCCCATGTGAGTAGCTGCATATTTCTTTTTTATCCATTATTCCAAGTAGTCAATGCTTTTGGGTTGGGACAGTGCGGACTCTGTTTGACTGCAAAAACAGTCACTTTCTTATGCCACACTACTGCTTTATATCTAAATGATGAACATTGAGATTGAGAAGAAAAGGAGAGAGCCCTTTCTTTAACAACCAGACAGAGACTTCCTTCATCGTCGAAGCTGCTGACTGTTGTTCACTTCACGAATGGATCTTCCCACTCCCAAATACTTTCAGTCTCCTCCAATATTCGAATCAAATGGGGTAAATGGTGATCAAGTCTTATGCATTTTGTTCTGTTTCTTTTGGTTATCTTCTCAAACTCTTGATGTTTTTTGTCTGATTCAGGACCCGCCATTGGTGGGCAGGAGAAGCTTCTATGGTAAAACCAAGGATGACCCTTTTGCAGACACCTTCCATGATCCACTTTGCAAGCTCAACCTCAAGGAAACTTCAGAGTTTGTCAAGTCATTACCGATGGTGAACACGGTCACCTCCTCTGTTTCGACTCAGAGGAGGAGAGATGGAGTCAACTCAGTGACTACTCAAAGACGAGTCGCAGAGTCTCCCTCAACTCCTGGAAGGCCTGTTTTTGGCTTCAGCGTTGGAAACCTTTCAAGAAAGAATGTCCCTTCAAAGTGGGACGAAGCAGAGAAATGGCTTGTTTGTAGCCCTTGCAATGACTCCCCTGCCCACTCGTTGAAGCCATCAGAGCCAACAAAGATATCAAAGCAAGCTGAAAACTTCAAGCCTCAAACAGAGGTTTTCGCTGAGAAGTTTAGAGTAACGGAGGAAAAGGTTTCTAAAGCAGTCTCGAGCTTTCTTGGATCTGCAACTTTGTGCAAAAATAACAGCAACTCCTTGAGACCTTTCAATGGCGTTTCTGATTTACACCTAAAAGGTACTCTCTTTCCTCTTCCACTTTAGATTTTCGGCTTTACTCAGATACCCTTTTTCTTTCTCAACTGTTGCTGTACTTTTTTCAACGTTTTCCTGTAGCTTGCGTAAAAACTTGCTTTACCACCCCAAAATTTCACGCTTCTCTGTTAAAACTTTGTCCTTTGGAGTTTTGGAAGATGGAATTGCATGTGGGTCTTGATGGTTTCTTCTAACGCGTAATTCGATTGTTTACAGATAAGTTTGTGGACAATGTAGAGCCAAATTTGCCGACGAAGGAAGGCTTTGTGTTCAGCAATTCCGCCATTAGCAAGATGGAACTTACGGGCGCCACTGTTGAGGTTCAGCACAGAGACATTGGAACAGAGATGACCCCTTTAGGCAGTTCCACCACTTCAAGGTGCCCAACTCCATTCAAAAGCTCATCCCCAGCTCGCCATAACACGCCGGCGAACAGATCCGGACCGCTCGGTCTGGTCGGCGCCGATGACGACGCCGACAATAATAGCGCCACCATCGACATTACCCAGTTGCAGGAATGCCATTTGGCTAAGCTACAGCTTCCATCTCAATACGATTCTGTTGCATCGAATTGGAGCTCGAGGGAAGAGGAGGAGGAAGAAATTTCAAAAAGCTTGAGACACTTCGAAACGGGCAATGAATGTCGGAGAAGTATATCAGATTCCAGAGCTGCAGCTTGGGAAGAAGAGGAGAAAACCCAGTGCTGTAATAGGTAAAAACAAATTTATCTTCTTTTATCTTTTCACATTTCACCGTTGATTTTAATTAGACTCAGTTTATTCTTATGAAGTTTCAGATATCAGAGAGAAGAAGCCAGGATACAGGCTTGGGTGAACCTGCAAAATGCAAAAGCAGAAGCTCAATCGAAGAAACTTGAGGTACCCCATTATCAGAAAAGTCATTTTTTATTATTATTGTTTGTTTATATTGAAGTTGTGTGTTGTTTCCATGTTTTGGGTTTCGTCGTTTTTCTTTCTCGAGCCATCCGCCATGACTGGTCCACCTCTGTGTCTGTGCTTCACCTGATTTCAGTAACCCTCGTATCCTGCATATGCTTGAAAGCTACGACTCATCTTCCAAATTTATTTTATGACACCAAAATCCCCATTTGGAAAAAGGAACAGAAAAAAAGGAATTTGTTTATTTGAATTGAGCTCTGCCATGCCCAAGAACATGCTTCTCTTAGTTTCTGACCAAAAATTTGAGTCCATACTACACTGCCTACAATCGCTCTACATTTAATGATCTTAAAACCCCCAAGGGATTCAAAAGATGAATTGGCGATGCAGGTGAAAATAGAAAGGATGAGATCAAATCTAGAGGGGAAGCTGATGAAGAGACTGTCGATGGTACACAGAAAAGCAGAGGAATGGAGAGAAGCAGCCAGGCAACAGCACACCCATCAGATTGAGAAAGCCACAGAAGAAGCCAAGAAGCTAAACTGGCGACGCCCTTATTCATTACCCCACAACACCACTTCTTGTGGTTGCTTCCCTACCCACCATTCATAACACTCACTCAAATACAACAAGCAACACAAAATACTTGTATCATTTTTTCTTTCTTTTTTATTCATGTTGTCTCTTGAAAGAAATGCATAGAGCAAATGGAAGAGAGAGCCACTTTCTTTGAGTTTCCATTTTCCAACAAATATTAGATTGGCTTTTGTTCCCCATCTTTGAAACGACTTTGATATGGTTTTGGGAAGACTTAAGTTCTCTACTAGATTTGATATATATCTTAAGACTTTTCCACGGATGCGAATAATTCAACCGGATACCACCAAATATGTCGAGGCTTTACCTTCCAACAGCCAATCATTTGTTTTTTTTTTCAAACACAGCCGCAGCAATTTGGCATTTTCTTGGACCAGTTTTCATCCCTTAGTTTCTGATAAAAACATCACATCAGAACTCCCCAACTAATTGTGTTGGTCATTAATGGCGACTCAAAGCACTTGGCGTGGTCAACTAATTGAGTTGCTTCTGATCTTCTTCTTCTTCTTCTTCTTCTTCAACTTCATTTCCATATATTGCTTCGCTGAAGTTGAATTCAATGTTGTGCCTGAAAAGCATGCTGCTTTCTTCATCTTTGGGGACTCTTTCTTGGACGCTGGCAACAATAATTACATCAACACCACAACTCTTGACCAAGCTAACTTCTGGCCCTATGGCCAAACCCACTTCCGATTCCCCACTGGAAGATTTTCCGACGGTCGTTTGGTGTCTGACTTTATAGGTAACACTTCCCATATATTTGGTTTATGTCCTCTTCATCTCTGTTTTCTTGTCTTCTGCAGTGCTGCTAACCCAATATTCTCTCTTTTTCTGATAAACTATACATTTGGGCAAGGCTCAACTTTTCATGACTTTTGTTGCTCTATCTTTTAGCTGAATTCGCCAAGCTGCCTTTGATCCCACCTTTTCTTCAACCGGGTTTTCATCATTATCATAATGGAGCGAACTTTGCTTCGGCTGGAGCAGGTGCTTTATCCGAGACTTTTCATGGGTCGGTAAGAATAACGTATCCTCCCCACTCCTCACGCACCTTTTTCCATATTAAATAGCAAACCAAATCATTATCAGCTCTTCTTTCTGCACTATACACAAAAAAATCGTCACTTTGATCTAAAAACTTTCAAACCTGGTTCATGATTAAGCAACTCGGTTGTGAACGTATTCAGGTGATCGAGCTGAAAACACAGATTAAGTACTTTAGGGAGGTGGTAGTGACATGGCTGAAACGAAAGTTGGGGAAAGCTGAAGGTGGGCTGATGGTGTCAAAGGCTGTGTATTTGTTCAGCATCGGAACCAATGATTACATGAGCCTCTTCTTAACCAATTCTACTTTTCTCAAATCCCACTCCAAATCCCAATATATTGAGTTGGTGATTGGGAACTTGAGTACTTCTATCAAAGTAAGCTAAGCTTTTTTGCAGTCTTCAATTTGCATTCAAACACTGTAATGTGGATGTTTGTTTTGTTGGTTTTGACAGGAAGTATATGATAGCGGGGGCAGGAAATTCGGGTTCCTGAACTTGCCGCCTATTGGGTGCAGTCCAGGGATGAGAGATGAAGATGGCGGGTGTTTGGAAGAGCTGTCGGCGTATAAAAGTGTTCACAACCAGAGATTGGTGAAGCTTCTTCAAGACTTGGAGAAGCAGCTGAAGGGGTTCAAATATTCACTCTACGACTTCAGTAGCAGCCTCACACACAGAATGGAAAATCCATTCAAATATGGTAGCACAACTTTCACTCCCTGTCTTGACAGATTTTAAACTTTGATACAGAGATTTTGAAGTGTGTATGTGTAATATAATAATGTAGGGTTGAAGGAAGGGAAGGAGGCATGCTGTGGAACAGGGAGATTTAGAGGAGTTTTCAGCTGCGGAGGAAGAAGAGGAGTGAAGGAGTTTGAATTGTGTAGGAATCCGAATGAGCATGTCTTTTGGGATTCTTACCATCTCACTGAAAACCTCCACAAACAGCTTGCTCATGAACTGTGGCGTGGCTCATCCAGTCGCCATTCCTCTCTCAAGTATCTTTTTCAAACCATTTGAGAACACCATTGGCCATGAGTTGTGATCATAAATCATATCCATTTAATCCTCGACTCTTTTTAATGGCTATTTTAAACTTGAAACAATGTAAGATCTGAAACAAATATACATTTAGAATTGAGAATTGGGTTTAAATAAATGTGCTTTCATATTTATTTCTTCTACACTCTAGACCCCTTAGAACTTCTCGACTCTCAGTTCCCAACTCAAAATATTATAATTTTACATAGTTTATCAAACAAAATTTCAACAGGAAACAAAGAGTAGTCAATTAAATTGACATATTATCAATTGGACAGGAGTATCACTATGACTGTGTTCAATGGAGGATCTACCACCACCCATTATTTAGAGTCATTATTCATATGGATGTCCACTAAACTTGAGACGAGTAAATTCCATATATCCCAAAAAAATTGTACCAAGATACCAAAGTTGATGTCAAAATTTCAATATCAAAATCTAAAACTGGACTATCAGAAAAGAGGCAAGCCAATTTTGCAACCAAAAAAGGTGGTACCCCTACATAAACAAGCAAACTCATAAAACGATTAATGAATTCTCGATAGTTCCCTTAGTGTACCCTACCAACTGGCAGCCGGAGGCGCAGCACCTTCGGCTGAAGGTGCTGGTGGCGGTACTGCAACATCCCATCCGTCTGATGCTAAAGCAACTGCACAAGGAAAAAAAAAACCCAGAAAAGAAGGCGTCAAAAAATAAGTATGTTCATGGAAAAACAACGTTGTTTTTTGCTACGACTCAAACAGACAACCAACCAAGTTATCGAATGACAGACTACAAGGTAACTGGAACTGGCAGGTGGTAATTATAAACATAAACCAGCGTGATTTCTTTTAAAAGCTAAACACACGGCAATGAGCACGGGTATTCAACTAAATCATAAAAGGAAACTCGGGCTCAACCTGGCTCTTGGGCCCACTCAACACTCGGAACAGGTGGCACAACTGCAGCAGCTACAGGTGGTGGAACCACATCAGGGTCACCCCACTGAGCATCAGAAATTTGTCCTGCCCATTGATCTGAGGCAACAAGTGGAGCAGCCCCATAATCGGCAATGCCATAATCTGGAGGCGCAACAGCCTCTTCCTCTTTCTCCTTGGCCTCCTCAGGCTCTCGGTAGAAAAACAAATCCACCTGCAGAAGAAACACATCCATTGATTCAATCCAAACCTTCAATTAAACTTCCAACACTAAAGTGTTAACCCAAACTTCCAGTTCAGAACACGGTTTACAATGCTACGATATAAAATATAATGTTGATCTTACCATCACGTCCCATTTATGCCCTGCACGAATTGTTCCACGCATCTGCAGAACCATCCTTGCCAAAAGCCAGAAAAGACATCCAATGCTATGTTTCCCCTTGTTATTTGCTGGAATCCCAATATCAACATACCGCATTGGTGAATCAGTATCGCAAAAGGCAATTGTAGGAATGTTTCCAAGCGCACCTTCCTTAATGGGCTGGAAACGAGAAACCAACCAGACAACACAAATAGCAGCAACAAGTCAGGTATAAATAAAATGAAGGGAACAAAAGTGAATCTAGCATTGGTAAAAAGAAGACGATCCTTTTGACTTAAAACTAATAACAGAAAACTTTTATCGGTCTTTAAAAAGGCTCAATCACCTGATGATCAGTTCTAGGATCAGTAAGTATCAGAAGACGTGGTTCATTGAAAGAGGTCTGAAGCTGGTTAGTGAAGGTTCCAGGGGTATGCCTCCCGGCTATTGCATGAGCCCCAGTGTGTTGAGCAAACTTCAAGACGGCCCTCTGACCATAAGGCCTTGCAGACTGAACAATGATGTCCTGTGGATTCTCAATACCCACAATAACTCTGGCAGCCATCTGAAGTTTCTCCCATGTCTTACCAAGGTTAATAATGTAGATTCCTAAAAAGGAGAATTAGAAAAAAAAAGGTTCGTCATATGGAAAATATAGAGATCAAACCTCTTTTTAAGCCTTTAATAACTTAACATTCCTCAAAGTAACAGACTCGAATACAAAATTGATTCTTCAAACAATAGAGATTGGATTAATCTTCAAATCTTTGACCGTATGAACCAACATTGTGGGATCAAATTAAAAATGACATCACACGTGCTGTCGCACACCAAACATGTAGAATCCATAGGACTATTCAACAATGTGTCCTTGGCAAATACAGTCATAACTAAAGAGGTAAACCAAACAATAGTCAGACACCGTCTCTGAATTGTAATCACTATCACAAATTTAACAAAGAGATCACGGATATATATACGGACTCATGAAATTATGATCGCTCTAGTCCTTAGAATTTCATTCCAAAACTTAGGGTCATTGGGCAGGGACATTAGTGCTCAATGTTACAGTGCAAGACAAATCACAGTCAATATTGAAAACAAAGAGGATCTAGGAAGCGGTTTGGGGAGTTCAACAAACTTGGAAAAACTAAAAGTAAAGTGATTCACAACATACCATCGTTTCGACGCTTGAAAACGTAACGCTCCATTTGGAAGTTACAGTTCTTCGTGCCTAGATGAACCTCGGCGGCCAACATCATCTGGATGTCGGCCTCCTTCTGCGAGAGCTGACGCGGTGCTGTTCCAGTGGCCATGGCGGGATCTCTGTGAATCGAGAGTTGTATTAGGGTTTGCAGAATAGCAGTAATTTAAGGAGGTTGAACCAACAAAGAAGGGGCCTGTGAACAGAACAGGAGGGGCTAGGGCTTCTCTAGGTTTCTTTCTTTCGGCCGGAACAAAGAGTTGCAAAGTATTTTCCAAATTGGCATCCAGAATAAATTGGGCTGGGTTAGTTATAAATCGGGGCCGAGTTTTATTTTTTAAAAACAGATTCTTTATTTACAAATTTACACGTTAATTTATATATATATATATATAAATTAAAAAATACCTTCAAAACTCTGAATGAGACCTTAAATTTTGACTGAATTTTCAAAAATACCATTAACACACATTTAATAATTTGTTTAAAAATACTCTTAAATTTTCAATAATATTTCAAAAATACCTTTAAATTTGACTTATATATAAATATATAAGTACAAACATAACATATGTAGTTATAAGATAAATACGTAGTTATAAGATCAATAGTAAATTTTAACATAAATCAAGACATTAATCATAAATCAATTTGAATAAAGGAAGTTTGGTCCTCATGTACCGCTTGTGATTTCACTATTTGAGTTTGAAGTAATGTGTGACCATAGAAATGGTTTAATGTGATTAAAGGATAAATTTGATTTGTTTGCAAGTAGTTAGAGGTTGAACTTATATGTCACACATATCTCATATATTTATTAAACTTAAATATTTTCTGATATAAAAAAAACTTGATAATTGATATGATGTTTGAACAGGTCTTTATATATATATATAAAATATATATATATATATATATATATATATATATATATATATATTCAACGTTAAAATTATATTCCTACCATGATGCTGACGTGTGCGGGACCGAGCTCTTAAATAATTTTGCAAATATTTTTTTAATAAATTGGATGGTGTCAAGTGTGTAATGTTATGTAATGACGTGTAAAATAAAATAAAAATGAATGGTCGGATTTGTATCTGTGTTGTCGGCTGGGGTGGGGTGGGGTGGGGTGAGCCTTCTTCCTCGACTCAATTGATAGGCTCAAGAAACCAAGCTGCAAAGCCATATAGAAGCCAAAGGGAAGGAACGCCACTAACCACTCATTCCAATCAATCATTTAACCGGAAGACTTTTGTTACTCCCATCTTCTTCATCTTCATTATAAACCAATGGCCTCTGAGCTCCTTCTTCCACTTCTCACAGAGGGACATATAATTCATAATTAATTCAATATGAGTTTCCTCCACAAGCTTTGGGACGAAACCCTCGCTGGTCCCGCGCCGGATTCCGGCCTCAGTCGCCTCCGCAAGTACAACTCCTTCTCCGCCTCCCGATCTCCGCCTATGCTAACCAACGACCGCGCCTCCAACATTCCTCGTCGTATCGAGATCCCTAGCCCTACTCTCTCTCAGAACTCATCCACCACCACCACTCCACCGCCCACTCGTAAGTACTTCATTTCTTCTGTTTAAATCCCGTCTCTTGATTTTGATCGGGTCGTTATTGGTGTTGAATCATGCAGCGCCGGAGACGCCGCGAGGGGACGATATGAATAGACTGGCCAGGAGAAGAACCATTGATTATCCTCGCCGTCGCCCTTTGGAAGGATCTGACCCAACCAGCACCCCTTCTGTTTATGATTGGTTAGTTTTTTTCCACCACTTTTCATAAATAAACTTAGTAATTATTTTGTTTGACAAATTATTATTTATTCCCTAAATTTTGCTCTCAAAAACCCTTTTGACTTTTAAAAGTAATAATACACTTCAACTTTCAAATAAAAAAAATCAAAATACTATTTCTATTGGAGCATACAAGTTTAGGGTTCAAAATTTAATTTGAAGCGAAATAAATGGGTTAATTAAGAGAATTATACAAAATTAATTGCTAAGAATTATACAATATTTGGTTATCCTCCCATCCATTGAAGTAGTATAGATATTATGTAGATGTAATATTATGATATTTAGTGATAATTTTACGGTGAGATAATTGTGTTTTATAATTATATAGGATCGTTATAACTGCTTTAGATCGTTGATGGATAGAGAAGAGCATTGGAAGAAGAAGAGAATAACGTGTTCTCTTTTTCATTTTTTACAAGGAAATTGCCTTGGATTTGGATATATTTTCCGCTTGCAAGAAATTCCCTTACATATGTAGTAAGTAATATTAGAACATGCAAAGAGGATGTACCCGAAAAGGGTTTTTTTTTCTCTTTTTTTTTTCTGTAAATACTAAGCTTGCCTTTTCTCATTTGTATTTGGATATTTTCATTATATATATATATATATCGAGAGAGAGAGAGAGAGAGAGAGAGAGCTCTAATCCTATCTTCAATCTTGGCACATCTGTGGAAATTAAAGCAACAGAATTGATTGATAAATAATAATGGGTCGTAATGTTTGGGCTGGGTGTGTTATACGTATGGCCCACTTGGTGGATGTTAAATGTATTTTCAGGAGTGTGTGTTCCATTTGAGATTTGAATTAACCATAATTAAAAAATTGTTACAATCATATGATCTTTTGATATATGAATTAAGGTCAAATCTATCTCCAATTGAATTGAATGCTCAAAAAAGAAATCAAATTGAAAATTGAAATTCAATTATCTCCTCAAATAACCCTGCAAAGGGCCGGAGTTGTCAACGTTAGAATAGACGACACAGCACTGATTGGCGTTAATTACGATAAAGCAGAGTAGTTGGAATGTATGAACAAATTTGCAATCTCCATCGGTTTTAGGTTGGTATCTATACATATATATATTTGTTCTACACTTCCACTTCCAGCAGCCACGTAATCCTTATCAACACTTTTATTTTCGGCTTCTACTTCAACTTCTCCACCTTTTCTCCGGTGAAGGCTGCAGTTTCGAGTTTAGGGTTAACAAACCTCAAGGTATAGATCCTGTTTTTAATTTCTCCATAAATATGTCACCAACTCTTGTTCCTTACTTTCAACCTTCTGTTCATCCCAAAATCTCTCATCATAAATTTAACCAAGTACAGAAAGTTCTTTTAATTCATTCCCGCGTCTTTCAACACCTTCATGTTTAATCCATCCGTGGGGGACATCTGTTACTGTTTTTCTGGTCACTTTTGTTCCTTACTTTCAACGTCCTGTTCATACCAAAATCTCTTATCATAAATTTAACAAAGTACAGAAAATTCTTTTAACTCATTCCCGCGTCTTTCAACACCTCTATGTTTAATCGATCCGTGGGCGACATCTGTTACTGTTTCTCTGTCAAATTTGAATATAATCACTTAATTAGGAACCTTCTGATCTCTATTTTGTCAGGGTAAAATGTCTTCTAAACCAGTGAATGTGAATGACTTCAAGGAATTGGCTAGATCAGCTCTTCCCAAAATGTATTACGATTTCTATGCAGGGGGAGCTGAGGACGAGCACACCCTAAGAGAGAACATACGGGCCTTTCATAGCATCACGTAATTTTAAACCTGCCTAATCACTCTTTTGATAGAGTAATGCTATATACTTACTATTCGGGGTTTCTATGGTTTTTAGGATTCGACCTCGAGTTCTTTTGGATGTGAGCCAAATTGATATGTCAACAACTGTATTAGGCCATCGCATCTCTGCACCTATCCTGGTTGCTCCCACTTCTGCGCATATGTTGGCATTCCATGAAGGTTGTTGAGAACATCGCTTAGTTGAGAGAACTGATTTTCATTCTACTTATACCTGATGATATCTATGTTTTTTCAGGAGAACTTGCCACGGCTAGGGCAGCAGCTGCTGCACAAGCTATAAGTTATTTAACCTGTGCAATTTGGTAATTGAATTGAGTTGCTTCCGTAGGTGCTGTCCTATTCTTCAACCCGTTCAATAGAGGAAGTGGCAGCTAGCTGGGACGCTGTCCGCTTCTTTCAATTATATGTAAACCACTCTTCTTTTTCACGTTTAACTATCTTTCCTTGTTGGCAAATTTGAATTTATCCTCCATTTTGTAATCAGGTTTTCAAAAGGCGTGATATCACAGCTTTGATAGTACAGAGAGCTGAGACATGTGGATACAAGGCCATTGTGGTGACTCTTGATACTCCTTGGCTTGGTCGAAGGGAGGCTGACATGAAGAACAATTATCTATGCTTCACATCTCATGCATTGTATGTATTCCTTTTGCTGGGTATTGAGTGCTTCAATTGTAAGCTACGCCTTTGTCTTTGTCTCATCTGGAAAATCAATTGGATGAATTTGTAGGATGATTGCATATCCAAAGAAGAATCTTGAAGGCCTCATGTCTGTTGAAATTAACTCTGTGAGTAATGGTTCAATTTTCTTGTTTAGAATATTGGAATTACATCTCACGATTAAATCTAGATATATTTGTTAGGAATCACGATTCTCCAAAATAGTATTGTATTGTCCACTTTAAACACAATCTCTCATGGCTTTGCTTTGGGCTTCTCCAAAAGGCCTCGTACTAATGGAGATGTATTCCTTGCTTATAAATCCATGGTGATTCCCTAAATTAGCCAATGTGGGACTCCTTCCCAACCATCCTCATCACTATTTTCATGCAACTTTTGCGAACCCGGTGTACAATTATGAACTTTTGCGAAAGCAACTGTGGACGCATCTTTATCCTGGAAAGTAAGTACAGAAAGCTGCTCAGATTCCTATCACACACTTGAATGTGTGCTTTACTTTGGTGCTTAATAAGCTTTGGAGCATATACTTCATATAAATCAGTAATTTAACTACTCCTATGTTGTATGGACTTCTTTCAACTACGGTAATGTAATGAATATACAGTGTTTGAGAAATCTTTCGAATCATCATCTTGATTAGATGAGATTTTCTGCTACTTGAAAGGTTTATTCTTCTAACATTCATGTCCTTCCAGTTCAGTTTTAATATTTTTCTGTTTACAGGGTATAAAGTGGTTAAGATCAATCACTAGTCTGCCAATTCTGTTAAGGGGGATTCTCACTCGTGAAGATGGTAAGTTAAGTTATGTTTTTAAGTGTTAGGAGAAAACTAATAAATACTACGCCCAAGCGATAAACACAAGTAGCAATTGTCAAGTACGTATCAGATATGTAATGGCCCAAGCCTACCGCTAATAGATATTGTCTTCTTTGGGCTTTCTCTCAAGGCTTTAATACGCGTTTGCTAGGAAAAGGTTTCTACACCCTTATAATGGGTGTTTCGTTCTCCTCCCCATCCAATGTGGGATATTACAATCCACCCCCTTTAGGGCCCAGCGCCATCGCTGACACTCGTTCCTTTCTCCAATCGATGTGGGACCCCACCAAATCACCCCCCTTCGGGACCCAGCGTCCTTACTGGCACACCACCTCGTGTCTACTTCATTCGGAGAATAGCCTCCTCGCTGGCACATCGCCCGGTGTGATACGATGAATGAAGTAAAAGATGTGATGACTTGTAGAAATGCTTATCCATCTCAGACAGCACAATTTTCCTTTCAATATATTTCCTTGCTTGGTTTATGAGTTTTGTCTGAGTTCATGGATAGGCAATTTCTTTCATTAGCTTTCTTGATGATTGGCAGCAACTAAAGCTGTGGAAGCTGGTGTTGATGGAATTATTGTCTCCAATCATGGAGGCCGCCAACTAGACTTTACTCCGCCCACTATTCTCGTTCTCGAAGAGGTCAGTTTCGCTTCATTTTGTGCTACTATATTGCTCAAAGATGTGAATGCAAGGAGATAAAATTACTTCAATTTCTGCATAAGTTAGCTTCACATTACTTCGACATGTGTCTCTGCAAATATTGTCCTTCATTTTTAAGCTTTTAAATCAAATCTTTGTTTTGAAATAGACGAGTCTTTAGTTTTAGTAAATGGTCCCTCCCAATTCACTCCATGTTCTCGTGAGAATTCTACATTCGTTGGGGACACAATCTCACATTAGTTGGGAGGAGAACGAAACACCTTTATAAGGGTGTGGAAACCTTTCCCTAACAGACACATTTTAAAGCTTTGAGGAAAATCCCGTAAGAAAAAGTTCAAGGAGGACAATATATACTAGAGGTAGCCTGAACTGTTACGGTTGTGCAGGGTCAAAACCAAAACCAAGTTGATACAAATTTAGGACAAATATGAGTGAACCCAAATGCATATTCACGGCTTCAATTTGCGCAGCCTTTTGGGTTTGTGTCCTAATTGATAAGCATGAAGTTTGATGCAAGTTGTCCAGGCTGTGAAAGAAGTTCCAGTGGTCCTAGATGGAGGTGTGCGGCGAGGAACAGATGTATTTAAGGGATTAGCCCTTGGGGCACAGGCAATCCTTGTAAGTTCTATACTCCCCCCATATAAAACATTTAAAATGGTACTATTATTATTATTTTTGTGTGCGATGGTATAATTTGATGGTGATTCAGACGGGGAGAGCAGTTTTATTTGGGCCATCTGCAAAGGGAGAAGGAGCAAGAACAGTGCTGGAAATGCTGAAGAATGAGTTGGAGACCACCATGGCACTCTCAGGTTGCCCATCTATTAGGGATATTACTAGAAACCATGTTAGGACACAGTATGATAAGCTGCAAGCAATGCTTTGACGTGTTTGCCTTTTATTATGTAACCAAGCACAGCTACTCTACTGTTTCACAAGAAGACAGGTCTCGGCAACGATGCATCTCTCTAAATTCAGTAATGTTATTACATTATTTGGCAACTTCTCAACGAAACAAAAAATCTACCCTTGGATCATCTATCGCCTTTGACCACTTTTTGTGCTATCTATCATATGGAAACTAAATTAATATATTATTTGTAACACTTGGAATAGATATACGACCATAGAAAATGAGCCCATGACATCCAACCTAAACCATCAACAATATTGTCGGCATAAATATTTTTTTGTTAAATATAAATAATTTGTGCCTTATTAAAATTAAAATTTGTCCAAACTTAATTTAAAAATAAGTATGTGAATAAGTGAAAATTAAAATTTTATAGGGAAAATCGAATCACTTTGACAAATTTAGTAGTGAAATTTGTTTTTTATTTTTTAATTTTCCCTAAATATATTCGATAACCGACGCTGACCGCCGTTTCAATGCTTGTTAAAATTGCTTCAGTGGCAAAAATGTGAATTTTCTTGAAGAAGGAGGGTCTTTTCTAATCATTTTAAAACAATTTATTGAGAGGATCGCACGCACTCGCACACTGGAATAGCTACGTTTATCCAGACCAATGGCGATGGCAATGCGTTGCTCTTGCTTCCTTTCCCGCCCGAATTCCCCGCGATCTCCTCCCTCTGATCAATTATTGAGGAAAGTCCATGTTTCCGGTTAGTATCATGGTGCTTATAACGTTCTTTTGTTTTTCATCTAT